AATAACTAATATACACTGTATCACCTAAAACAGAAAAATGGTGACACACAAGGTTTTTGTAAGCACCTGTCAGAAATTCCCTTTGCTTATTCTCCAGACTTCATTACTTTAGATTAACTTCTAGGACTATTTTCCCCCTGCATAGACCATGTATTAATTACACCACTTCAGTAATTTGAGGCCTTCACACTGATGATCATTTAAAAATCACTCCTCAAACACCTTTGTATTTACATCATGCTGTGTGTTCAGGTCACCAGTATGGCTATAATGGATGTTTACATTTAAGACATCATTTTTTAAACAAGAGAGTAAATTAAGATATCCATTTATGAAGGAACTCAGGCAGTAAGTACATGCAATACATCCCATTGTTTTTTGTAACCTGTATGGAAAATTTCCCTCAATTTTACAAACCCAGCAGCAATTTAAAAAGATATTCTTTAAACAGAAATTTGGAGTAAGGTTGAGATTTTTTTTTACTCCTTTTCTTAAGAATGAAGCCAATTAGTCACCTTTCACATGCTGCTTTAATTGAAGAAGTTAGTGGACATATAACAAGTCTTTCAAAACAGGATGAATAAAAATAATCCCCCCTCCCACAATGATAGAATCACAGACTAGCTGAGGTTGGAAGGGACCTCTGCAGGTCACCTAGTCCAAACCCCTTGCTCAAGCAGGGCCACCTGGAGCTGGCTGCCCAGGACCACATCCAGACAGCTTTTTTAATATCTCCAAAGGTGAAGACACAACCACCTCTTTGGGCAACCTGTGCCAGTGCTTGGTCACCCTTACTGTGAAGAAGTGTTTCTTGATGTTCAGATGGACAATTCACTTTGTACAGTGTTATTGACAACACTGTTTATTTGCCTCAATGTTTTCCCATAGCTTAAACACCACTTTTAAGTTTAAGTAATAGCATTTACTGGTTTTGTTTTTAAACAGAAGATTCACTAGTAAAGGTACTTCAAAATAAAGGTTTCACCATAAGTTAAGAACCACTATAGGTAGGTTGTAAGATTTAACCATCTCTAGCTCTCTACAGTAACGTTACCTGTCACATTCAGCTTCTGTGTATGAACAAGTCCAAGAACTTGAATATCTCCATTGCTGCTTTTCCTGCAAATACTGGCTCTTTCAGGGCAGCCTGTGGGTCCCTCATGTACCCTCTGACAGAGATTCACATAATACCTATAGAGAACATGGTAGACACAATTTCTTTAAAATTAATTTAGGCTAAACTGAAAAAAGTGAGATATAAACTTTAGAATCCTCATGGAAAGCTAGGCAGGTTGAAAGAAATGTAATTAGCTGACAGAATAAAGCATGTACTAAGCTATAGCAGATTACTTCTAACTATCATTTTCAAGTAAATGACTCTGTACCAAAAAAATTGGTCATTTACCACATTAGTTCACTAGTTAATTTTGACATAGGTCAAACTAGAAATTGGAACTGAGTCAAGAAATGCCCAAAAGTTTTTTCAGCTATAGAGTTTATAATACTATCTTAAATTCAGCGTCTCGTCAGAGCTATACAAGTTCAGTTTTATTAGAAGAGGGACTAGTAGTAAGGCGGTGAATGAAACAGTTCTGTTACTCCACAGTTTATCCTACGTTTAGAATAAGATGCTCTAATCCTTGCCAGTTCATTTCTATTTGCTAAGTGGAGAGGGGAGGCTGAAGAGGTTGATGACATCCTCCCATTCCTATTTTCCTCTAAGTTGATACTTAGAGGAAGTAGGGAAAAAGTCCTACTTAAACTTTAAACAAAAAGTTACACGCTTCAGTCAAAAGACAGCAACTAAGTCATTGAGATTTTTGTTCAACATGATTAAGAACCCCAAAAATTGCATTTAAACTACAAAATTACTTTGTTAATACAGCAGTTCAAATAGAAAGCCTTTAAAAAGCTTTTAGTTTAGACTTATTCATCCTTTAAAAAGGTTTTCCAATAGAGGGAAGGGGTGAGGATGAAGACAGTAATTATTCATCCTTTTCAGATAAAATGCGTTCCTTTCTGGTTTTTTGTCTATATGCAGTGTTAAGCATTCACAGTTTTAAAGACACTGCCAGAAATTTAAACAGACTCTGAACAGAGACAAAAAAACGTAAGTACTATGCCACCTTACAACTTCAACTGTATTGGTTAGCAAGCTGCTCCCTGGGAGTTGGTCATTACTCACGAGTTCCCATTGTGGAAAAAGATCCATGATCCTGTCAGGGAAGAGAGCATTCTCAAGTCATAAGTTCTGTGGTTTTGGACAAACTTGCACTCCATCTTCTTGGGAGGACAAACAGCCTGAGTCTTCCATTCAAATGTCACAGCACAGCCAAGTGTCTCACTCAGAAGGTGTGGTCTCCCAACACCAGCATTTTCATCACATGTGAAGATAATGGTAGATTCCCTTCTTGCAGTTGCTATAAGGGAGAAGGTTGAGAAAAAAAAATTCTTTGCAAGATGCTTTCAGGCAAGTATGGATTTTAGCACAGTAATTTTGCAGTATCAACAAAAATTTCCATCGGGTATTGTTTCACATAGCAAAGAGGCACAAATGCTTTACCTAGCAATTTTATTCCCTAGATTAACTTCCATGTTTTTTAGAAAGTAGTGTTCCTTCCAAAACGACTAATCTCCAAAGCAGAGTAATCATTTAAGACTTGAACACTCATGATCTAAAGGCATGAACTTTTTGTTTTAAAAGTATTTTGCTCACTCACTTGAGTAAACTCAGGTTTGTCCTATAGATTCCTTGTCTTGCCCACTCCTATCCCTTTACTTTCACTGTATTGCACCAGAGGTCTTTTTCCCCAGCCTGATAATAGCTAACAAGCTCAGATCCTTGCACAAGAAGTGTAAGAAGTTCTTACCATTACCACAAAATCCCCACTTTCCATCTCCCTGGTAGTCTTCAGTTGTAGCACACCATGGCCTATTCTTTTCTTCTGTAATACATTCCTGATAGGTCTTCCCTTTGTACTTGAAGGGGAACACACAAAGCTCTCCCTTTTCAGTCACTGAGAAGGAAAGGTATATCCCTCTTAATAACATGCAGTAGAATAGCAGGCATATCCATATTCAGGACCATATCCAAAGCCTGTACTTCAATACTAAAGAGAAGTCATAGGCAGAGGCAGACAACAGAAATACTGAAACATTGAGTCTAAACCCAATTAGAAAACCAGAATGTAGTCTAAAATTAGCTACGACCATCCCTACAGAAAAGCTGCACCCTCTTCTCGGAGATACATGTTGATGTTGCAGATTAGTATGGTGCATGTGATTTAACTTACCTACATGTTTCTTCTATTAATGCATGAAAAATCCATTTTGCTTCCCTCCAATCACAATAAAATCTCTTATTTTAAGGGTAAAAGAAGATGACAAGTTTTTACATAAAGAATGGGTCTTCTTCAGTCTCACCTGGAGGGCACCGATCACCTCCGGTATACTGCAAGATAACTGTTTCATCCTGGTGGTTATAGTCCATTTTCATTTCCTTTATGTTTCCAAAGGATGATGCACCACTTTCAGATGTCAGACACACTGCCCCATCTTTGCATTTTCCTTGGGGCAAGTCTGCTGCCTTGCTGCATACACCAACATGGTAACTGTTGGATCCAGAAAATACCTGTGTGGACATCCAGAAGCATCACAAACAAGGCTGCCTCGGAGCCCACAGTCAATACTTACAAAGAACCACCCGAGTGCTTTATAAACCAAGTCTGATACAGTACTTGCATAATGCAGGAGGAAAATAAGATACCTGATTTTGCAAGTCTGGCCTTCCTTAATAATAAACTGCAGATAAAGTAAACCCACAGGACCAAGGACATAGTCTGTTCAACAGACTTCTTGTCATGTTCAGGATTCTGCAACAGGTGAAGATTTCTCCTTCCTTCCCCTATCAGTACATCCATGAATTTCCCTCTCAAAAACATTAAAAACTCTAATGTTATTGCCTCTAGTATTATTTCTTCTGTCAGAGGCCAAATATCAACACTGACCACAGCTGTAGCGCATGCTTCAGTCTCCTCTCACACCCCAGGATGCTTAAAAGAAACCCCTGCTTCAGTTTGAATTGCCCACTGCTAGCAACACTTTAATTAAAAAAAAAAATTTTTAAAAAAACCCCAACACACCACCAGAAGGCATTACCTCAAATGATCTTCCAGAAAGGCTGGTCAGGTTAAAAGTATAGTGTAGCTGTTCATCAGTCACAGAGCAGCCTAAAGTTTTCACTTTATCAGGACACACAACCGGAGTTTCCCACTCAAACACAAAACTGCACTCAAGTTTTTTTATCATCTTTGGCTTGCCCTGTTACCAAAGAACACAGCAAGATACATTAGGTTTAATATCTGAAGAGTTTGTTGTTCCTTCTACTCCCCCTGCCCTGCCCCCCCCAACAGCTGACCTCAGTTATTACTGAGGTTAGACTTTACTGACTGAAGGCCAAACACCATGCCTTCATATTACAACCAGTAACAAAAAAGCTACAGGTGAAGTACATTCTACCTAGCTCCTGAAAACAATCAAAGCAGTAATTGAAGTACACAAGCTTTCGTATTAATTAGGGTTAAGATTGTCATGTTCAGCTTAGTTGCAAGCAGCAACAAAAGTATGACAGCTGTGTAGTTAAGAAAGTTCACCGAGTTAAGGTTTAGAAAGAATACCATTTCCTTTGTTATATTTTAAATAAGAATATGACTATGGCCTGTGTAATATTCAGAGCTCCCTAGAGTTTCAGCTCATGCCTCATGCTGATGGAAAATGTTTCCACTGAGTATCTTCAACAGGCTCTAGTTTGTCAAACATCATACCTAAGTTTGTTAAAGCACCCAAAAAACTCAGGAAGTGTTAGATTCACACCACCATGCAACCTCAAGTTAGTGTTCAGGTGACAACACAAAATAAAAATATAAGTATCTAAATGCAAATTTTTAAAGCTGTGTATGATTACGGAAAGGGCTACAATATAGGGAAAGCATTTCACATGAACAGCTATACAAACAGTTATACTGGTTCTTGCATTCACTTGTGGTACAAGTACAAGCTTTTGGACCTAGACAAGGTCCAACACAGCATGCTGTTTAACACCAGCAATGAGTTACTGCTACATTACTTCAGTGGAATCTGATCCTTGAAACCATCAGAAACTGCTACTCCCAAGCCTAAAGTTCATGCACTCATTTTGCTGGTTAAGAATACAAATATTAAGTATATTCCTCGCTGAAACAAGTCCATCCTTACACACTAGAAACAAATCCTTGATTTAGTTTTAAGCAAAGCTAACACTGGTTACTACCCACTTCCCATTGCACTCCAGTATCAACGTAAGTTTAATAGACGTCTTACCAGACTAGTTCCTTGGCGGCAGTGAAATACAATAAGAGAAGTATAGTTCAATTTGTTGTTCATCTGACAAGGAGTAGTGCTGTTGTAAGTGATGTAAACTTCATTTACTGCCTCATTTAACTTGGGAGGTTCAGTAACACGACCAATATCCTACACAAGCAAAAATATGTATTAAGAGACATATAGGACACACCTAGATTTCAGATCAGCCCAGAGATTCAGATCAATTCAGATTCACCTGTTTGGTTTAGATAGGAGCACAACTATTACACTTTTGACAACTGCATTCTATACTCAAAGAACAGCCATTACATTTCAATCCTAACAAAACACAAGTTGAGAAGCTCAAAACACTGATTAAGCCTGACAACAGCCAGGGAGGTTCTGCATCTTACATGTAGATTCTTTAAATCATTGCGCCGAAATACCAACACATCTCTTAAAAATAGTGTAGTATTAACAATGGAGGAAGGTCCCCAGATCAATGTGGAAGTTCATGGAAAACAGTCTCAAGGTTTTATGTGTGTCTTCTACAGCTCACGAACAAGACCTCAAAAGGTAAGAACCTCCCCTTCTCAAGGTAATAACACGGACAAGTTAACCAATATTCTGACACAGGCTTGCTATTCATACAGCTGTCAAGTTTGTACATGAAAGAACTAAATGCATTTTGGAGCATGCTAGGACATAACCTGCTTTATACTGCAACAGGCTATCATGGTATCAAGCACACCATTTCCGTGCCACAGAATGGCAGACTAAGAGGCATTCTGCTTCCCAATCTCTGTATTTGGCACGCAGCACTACATGAAAAAATTCTCTGTAGTATTTTTCGTATGTCATAGTATGGAATCTTCTGACACCTAAAAAAATCAATGGGGTTCTGGATAGGAAAATACTTCTTCGTAGGGAAAAGCAATCAAAAAGAATTTTGTAGGGTAAATTCTAATTTTGTATTCCATTTCTTTAACCCATTGTCAAGCCTCTGGCTCAAATGAGGTCTCTAGGCAGGGACACGGTTTTAAACTAGCAGGGAAATGCACGTTTCAGTGATTCCAGGTATAGTACTTACTATTGGTGATTCATTAACAGGAACCATGCAAACAGCCGCTCCAGGTGGGCAATTGACATCTTTGATAGGATTGAGAGGCTCACAGATGTTGATGTAGAATTCTGGAGAAACATCTGTTATATCTTCATCCACAAATGCCTCATAATACCCAGTGCGATGGATCAGAGAAGACAGGTCAATAATGGAACTTCCATTCAATACTGAGCATTTCACCTACAAGAAAGTACATTTTATTGCTCTTATTCTTTTATTACTTGCTTTGATTTATTCACAAACATCCTGTCTTTCATAGGGCTAGAAGGGTGGCTGCATTTAAAGTTTCAAATTTGATTTAAGTAAAGCAGTATTTGTTATAATTTTTGTTTGACTATAGATATATGCAACTTGTAGGTGCTTAGTGACAAACCTCAATCATTTAAGCATTCTTATGGAATAGAGTCCATATGAGCACAGTATCAAGATGTAAAGCTCTGGCATGCATACTCCAGCATACATAGTCACTAAGTCTTCATAAGATCAGTAGATCCTACATGTCCTTCCTCTCCCCATCTCCCACACATGACCGTACCACCTCCAATAAACAAGCTTGGTTATAATAATATAAAGTTATAGTATTGCAAGTTGATGGCTTGAGTGCTGCGTTTCCTCACAAACTAATTTCATGCATTCTTAAAGTGCTGTCCCGGTTTCAGCCAGGATAGAACTGGTTTTCTTCACAGAAGCTAGCGTGAGGCGATGTTTTGGATTTGGGATGAGAAACTGTTGATAACGCGCTGATGTTTTGGGTTGTTACTCAGCAGTCAAGGACAGTCCAGCTTCTCGTGTTGGCCTGCTAGCAAGAAGACTAGGGGTGCACAGGAAGCTGGGAGGGCACACAACCAGGACAGCTGACCCAGGCTGGCCAGAGAGATATTCCCTACCATACAACGTCCTGCCTAGTACATAAACTGGAGTTGGCCGGGGGGCGGGAATTGCTGCTCGGGGATGGGCTGTCGATCACCAGGTGGTGAGCAATCGCTGTATTGGGCATCACTCGTTCTTGTTCATTCCTTTGCCAGTATTATCATTGTTGTTATCATTGTTTCTTTCTCTCTTGCTGTCCTATTAAACTGTTTTTATCTCAACCCACGAGTTTTTTTCCCAATTCTCTCCCCCATCCCACTGGGGGAGGGGGGAGTGAGAGAGCGGCTGCGTGGTGCTTAGTTGCCGGCTGGGGCTAAACCAGGACAGTCCTTTTTGGCACCCAGTGTGGGGCACGAGGCTTGAGATAATAACGGTTGCAGGTCACAATACCAGTTTATTTGATTTGCATCATGCTCTCATCCTTGCCGTACATATTAAGGATCAGTGTTGGTTTCTGC